TACAGTTACACATACGATTAAGGGCGCCCGCCCACTAATCAGAGTACCGTTGCAGCCGCATGAAGAAGCGCGAAAACAAAAGGCACCGCGCGGCAGGAAAAATCCTAATTACGAAATTCCTAAATTCGTATCTAATGCGAAAAAGCAAAAGCACAAATTCCAAAAGGAAAGTCCAAAATTCCGAGAGCGATCGGGGGGGGGGGAGGGCTCGACAAAATTTGAAAAAAAAAGATTCAAAAGAAAATTCAAAAAGAACGAAGCAATTTCTCGCGCGATGTCCGCGCCCAAAAGATCGAAAACCGAACCAAAACAAACGACGTCAACATTTATTAATCGCGCGCGCGGTGGCGCGCCAGACATCCATCCGACCAACCATTCTACCGGCCGTCCCAGCACACCCAGCCCCGAAGAACCAACGAAAAAGATGAAGAAGCAAGGGTACTGATGCAATTTTCCACCGATCCCGATTTCCCGTAATTGGCCCAATCTTCCCAGCTTAGGACCCCTCGTTGCAACCGCGCAGAAACTCGTGCGTTACAGAAAGTGGTTCGTCACACATCAAGGGGAAAGCGCCCCCAAAACCTGGCTACCCCCGAATGCGCCCCTTAGGATTTTGGGGGCGTCGGTTACGCCAAAGGGAAAGCCCGACACGAATGACAATTGGATAGTTGCCTCGGCGCAGACTAAATGAACTGGATGTTGCAAAAAGCATGTGTCGCTCTTTGGGCGAGCTTTGGTCATTAACAATATGGTACTGGCCACCCTCTGGTACAAAGCCGTTTTGTGGTCGATGAGTACAGGGGAACTGAAAGCTCTCAAGCGGAAGCTGCAGTGGCTATGTTTCTGTGGATCGAGGACAGTGAAAATTCTGCTGGTGGCATGGGATTCAGTGATCCAGCCCAAGGCCGGAGGAGGGCTGGAGATGATCGACCCCTCTACACAGTTTCAAACCCTCAGTCTACGATGGATACAATGGTCTCATATTGTCGCCTGCCTCCCCTTGGACCCCCATAGTTCTGGTGCAAATTGCGGCCTTGGCCCCGCACCCAGTACCTCAAAACTATTCAACATGATCCTGCCTTCCGCCAGGCTGGCTGCGAACAACTTGGCATGCGGCGGCTCCCAGCCTCGGCAAACAGAGGCTCAAAGGTAGTTGTTTTTGCTCAAAGGTAGTTGTGGTTTCAAACAAAGGAGATGAATCAAGTGAATGAAATTATCAGGTAGCCAACTATGATACTCATAATCTGTTTACCTGTGAAATGATCAACCAATCATATTCATAATCCACAAAACAATGAGGCAATCTCTTTCTTGAAGCTGAATCAATTGCCTGAAACAATAAGATTATCATTCTATCAATTAATCAGAGTGAAAGAAACAATGAATAAGTAAGCAATAAAAGCCGACAACAACATGAATCAACCTACAACATATCCAGTCAGCCCTTGAGATAAATATCATCACTATGCACAGCAAGAGGAACCTTTTGGCTAAGATCAAGTGTAGTATCTGTTCTGATCAGTTTAATATCTGATGGGTGGTCCATCGGGCCACATTTAAAAAAAAAAAAAAAAAAAAAAAAAAAAAAGAAGAAGAAGAAGAAGGAAAAGCAACAAAAGTTACAAAACAATTAATTGTTGTAATTGATCTATTAATAATAGTGGATGCGAGTTAATGAATAAAATAATACATGACATATCCACTAGCTTAATACTAATGATCATGGATGTACGCACTCCTAATCTCTAGGCAAGAGAGTGAGAAGAAAGGGAGAGCAATAAAACAGTTGATCAATCAATTGAAATTTGAAACTAATGAATGATAGAACGAGCTAACGAATTAATGAATAGATAGCAGTGTACTATTAGCACATCCGCAATGAACCAGCAAATGAGAGGACGAAGTTTTCAAGATGCAGAAGCTCATTGAAGACCAAACAGGAGTAAACCGAGTTGAAATCGGAACGAGAATGACAAAGATGGTAGCACAGCAATCCAAGAACATGCTGAACACCTAGGCTACCAGCCGGGCCGCCCGGGTCCCGGGTGGCCACCCCGTGCAAGGACCAGGGAAGGTCCCACCAAAAAAAAATAAAAAATCCAAAAAATCCGGAAAAAAACTATGATATGCAGAAAAATTAAACGAACAAGTTTGCCTCAGGGTCACATCGAGATTCTTCACCAAATTTAGAAAAAAAAATAAATTTTAAAAATATTTTTTTTTATTTTTTTTATTTTTTTTTGGCCCGGCCGGGCAAGTGACCCCGGGCCACTCTGGTAGCCTAGCTGAACACTGAAATCTCTTGACAATAAAAGCCCTGCACGACCTCCAGTCGATACAACAACAGAATAGTAGTCCCAAATATGATGTGTCCACCTACACTACTTCCCACTCGCCCACACAATCGACCTACTAAATCTCACCCTCTCTTCCCACTCTCCTCTCACCAGATGTCTCTGATCATATGAATCATTCCTTTGCCAACACCTGCTAACTTAAATTATCCTCTTGTCCCCTGACCTTTCTCTACACTGTGCGACCCTTCCCTCTGGTCAATGCCACCTTCCAGCTATGGCAGTGCTCGTCGGAAACTCACCGCATTGCTGTCTTCCTGGCGTATCGGCACTTGCTATACACTCCCCCAGCACTGTTGCACCCACCCACCCACAGCTAAATGTCTTAGGACCTCCCCTCTATTGTCACATCCGACCCTCTACCCTCCTCGGTTTATGTCCTGGCAGGACCTACCAGGCAGTAGCCTGGACTGCATCTGCAACGGTGCCAAGAAGCTCCCCAGGGCATGGACTTCACTAAGGGCCCACCCACATTTGTCCTTGCGGCCTTTTTTCATTCCTGCCAAGGGCTGGAGCCTAGCACATCCGCTCAACCTGGGATGAATGGATATTCACACAACTATTCACTTCGCAAAAGAAGATTGAGAAAGAAGGTATAACATGGGACAAGGGCAAGGCTAAATGGTCATCAGGGATCCCAATGTTTCCAAATGCTTAGCCTCCGTAGAGCTTAGAACTGACTGAAAACGAGCTTTGGATTTTTCACAATGTTTCAGTGACAGGAATATTTTCCAAAGATGCTTCGTTTCCAATTTGGCGAGTACCAGTCTGTGTTCTGACATGGAAGAACTTTCCAGTGACAGGAATATTTTACATTGCTCGCCCTGAATGCCTATGCTGCTTGTCGCGTGTGTGTGTGTGCGTGTGCGTGTGTGCATGTGCGTGTGTGTGTCCCTGTGTGCGCACGTGTGCATGCATGTGTTTGTGCCCAGGGGGCACAGAGAGAGCGTGAGAGAGAGAGAGAGAGAGAGAGAGAGAGAGAGAGAGAGAGAGAGAGAGAGAGAGAGAGAGAGATCATAACAACTGTGGAGCCATTCAGCTTTGAAGTCCAAACTTGCAGGGCTCCAATTTACAGGTATAGCTCTTCGTCTCCTTCTGCCCAGTTGAGAACCACATGCTCACGCAACTTGCTTCAACCACTGGATTTGTCCACAAGGTGGAAACACCAGTAGCTGTCGACCACCAGGGGACACAGTTGGGTGAAATGAATGGCCCCATCTTCAAGTGGGTCAACTGGGTTTAGGCAATCCCACAACTTGCGCCCCAATAAAACGTTCAAGCTTACTCACTCCTCGTGTTTTGCAATCCACTGGCAGATCATCTGACCTAGCCAGTCTGTCAATTTGGAATTTGTTGCAAGTTCACAGCCCACAACGCATCCAAGCTCGCACACTTCTGCTCTCTTCGCTTTTAGATTTTGTGAGTAGCACACCTTCACCTGCAAAAATTACTTCCTCTCTCTCTCTCTCTCTCTCTCTCTCTCTCTCTCTCTCTCTCTCTCTCTCTCTCTCTCTCATATACACACATGTACTCGACTTCCGACAGGTTAAAAGCTCACTGCCAGACAATTAGCATTGGTATTATGCAAATGGTCTATGTCTCCTGGCGTATTTTGAATAAGTCCTGAAGGAACTTATAGACGGCTTCCTGGACATCACCCTGACCACTTGCATCAGCTGACAGCCGAAGTTCGTTCGTTCATCGTGAACAGCGGACGGTTGTATCTGAAGCACAGAGCCTGCACACACGAGTAGAACCATCCTTTCTGAACTGTCACAGGATTAAGAACATGCTTAGTGCGTTCTTTGCACTGCACACGGACAGGACATCTCCAGTTCTCCGAGTCCACTAGGGCTCCACGGCTCACCAACACCCCTCCTTCCTCCCGCAACCAGCCTCTTGGCTCTTCAACTTCCAAAACGATGCAGCGCTTCCCCCACAACCTATACCAGAGATCCACCGCAAAAGTGATGCGCCCAACTCTTCGTTGCCCACCCATCATAACCGCCCATCAGCAGACCTAACCCATTCCTAAACCCCTAACTGTCATAACCGCCCATCGGCAAACCTAACCCGTTCCTATACCCCTAACTGTCATAACTGCACATCGGCAGACCCAACCCTTTCCCGTTCCTCATTATTCCGTATCTCTGCAAATTGTCTGTTCGATCGCATACCATGCGCCCAAGATATATTTGAGCATCCATTTTCAACTTGCAGTGCCGCCACTAGCCCGAGCAACTGTCTTCGTGCATTGTGCCCTCGTGATTTCTATAACACCCCACGGTCACTCCTGCCAGCTTGATTTTTGAATGTGGAGGAATTATTCATCGAACTTGAGTTGACATAGAATGACTCTATTCATATCAACTGTGCATTGGCTTTCACGTCAACCGTTCGTGTCAGCTGTACAGGTTTCTGAAAATGGTCTTTACAACTCAAAAAAAAAGAAACAAAAAAAGAAGAAGAGTAGCCGAGTGTCCTGCTCGCTGTTATAGTACAGTCCCTGAAACACTGCTTTCTCTGCAATGACGTAGACGAAACAAGCAGCCGCAAAGGGAATTTCGCATTGTTCATATCACGAAAGCGTACGTCAAGATAAACCTCCCATGGAGCAGCATCTGAGACTCCACTCTTTTGTCGAGATCGCAATGTTTTGCTTTGTTTTTTTTTTCCCCACATTTTTCATACAACTACACGTTCAGAACATATAAAAGTACACAAGCTGCAGTCAGTCGTACAGAAAACATTACAAGCTGAAACGGTACCTCCTCCTGACCGTCTCCGTCTCCCTGACTGTTCACAGCCACGAGCCAGGGAACCAGGGTTCTCCGAACTGTCCCGAAAAATTGGCGGGGACATCACCGTCCGCTGTACAGAGCTGTATCTTTTCTCACCGCTTCCCAACCGCACAAAATTTCGTCACATTCCGGTCCTATTGTGGCACAAATTCCAACGACCACCACGGTCACATGCAATCATGAACCCGGATTGAGGTTGTGCTATTATCGCTGTGATAAAGTGTCATGTAATACCCCACGTGTAATACACGTTTCATCCAGAAGAAGAACGGTCTTCAGTTGCAAGTCGCAACAGAGACAACATCACAAACAACCCATCCCACATACCTCTGCATTCGACAAATTGGTCTACGGATATCACAAGCTGGACCACCTCTCTCTCTCCTCTCTCTCCACTGAGCTGAGCTGTGACTTGAGCTAGCTTAACCCAAACGCCACCAAGAATAGCTAGCGCACATGAGGATTTGCTACAGCGCACCGACGATCGACAAGTTCCAGGACACAACCGCCGACATCTAGCTCACATCGATGTCGCACCAATGTGAAGACCCTCCTCACTCGTGCTACAACAAATTGTGCTGCCCACCTATACCATATAAAAAGCCACAAAGAACGGCAGGCTAGTAGAATTGTTAGACTCGTAACCATAATACATGATGAATGAATTATAATAAATCATTCGTTCCGTAAAAGTTCCGTCGAAGGGCAGTATGGTACCATGGAAAGTTGTGGCTTTCCCATGGTACCTAAATCGTGTACCTAAACCGGCTTCATAGAATCCATAAAATCCTGAAGGAACTTTGCATGGCAAAGAGTTTCGGCAAATGGCGGGGGCATGGTACCATGAATTGAAATATAAAAATCATTCATTCTTTCGGCTTCGAAGAATCCTGAAAGCCTAGAAGAGCACTCCCTTCCTGAAAAGAAAGCCAATGGCACTAGGGTTGGGGTTAGCCGTGTTCTCGTCAATGCACCAAAATTCCCCAGCTGTGTGGAGCCGTGCCAGACCCTACAAACCCAACCTCACTACCACCAACCCAACCCAACCCCCTCCCATCCACACCCCTCGTCTTCGCCTCCTCCTCTTTCTCCTTCTCTTCCCAATCCTTATTTCCGCAGAGGTTGAGAAACCCATAACCATGGCAGCAATCGGTACCGCAAAACTTTGAAAACGCTCGTCTCTGGTAGTGATGGCACTGGAAGCAGCGCATCTCTTTTACGAGATGCAACACCTGCCATTGGATTTCGACGACAATACATCGAGGATCAGATCAGCCCTGCAAAAACAGAGCAATTGTCCTTCGGGACATCCGTTAAAATTGGAACGATACAGAGAATGAAGATTAGCATGGCCCCTGAGCAAGGATGACACGCATAAATCGAGAAATGGTCCAAATTAAAATAAAATTAAATTAAAAAACAAACAAACAGAGCAATTTAAGTAACAGACATCCAACCTCAAACACATCACAGGTCCCTCAATCTGGAGCAACAAAAGTACGCAACCAGGCACCCCCCACCCAAGGAGGATTGCAAACATCACATACAATCAATCTTCTTTGAAAGAACGAACGAATTTCCCTGGAGATCCTCCAACTTGCCACACCCCCAAATATTTACAACACGCACCCCCAAGGTAACACCAGCTTATGCGGCAAATCAGGAACAGCCATGGAATGCCGGCATGACAAGGAAGCAGAAGTTTCAAGAGAAGTCGTCAAGCAACCATATAACCCCCAGCTGCAAGCGCGGCTCACACCGATCAGCACATTCATGTCGGACTGAGTTCCGGAAGAAGAAAACCCAAAACAACATTGATAGCCAACCTCGCTCCCTCGCTGTACAGACTGGCTTGTCAGAGCACAACGCAAACTTCCCATGTACGCCTTGCATGCGAGACATGTCATATGATAACAAACTGGCATAAGAGAACATAGACCAGACTCTTCCACAACGCAGCAAACGCCTTGCATCTGGCACGTCATATGAGGACAAACTGGCACAAGAGAGAACATAGACCAGACTCTTGTACACAATGAAGCAACCAAACCCGATTTGTGCAGTTCCTAACTTGACGGGGAATCGAGCACCAGCGTACAATGCAAAGCCAAAGAGTTTTGTTTTCCTGGCTTCCACAGCAAAGGCTCTCCAACAATTTTGATAGGGCAGGTGCATTTCCCCATTTCAGGCGCACTTCCACATTTACTTCCAACCTACAAGGAAACCACCAACACCTAGCAGCAGCATGGGCAACAGTGACAGAGATCAAGGCAGCAGCACACATCCCCCACAGTCTATCCCCCAATGGGTCAAAAACACCACCAAACTGCACGCCTACTGGAGATCGTTTTCCGGGCACACACCAGCTTATTCAGGCATCAAATACTTGTTGAGCCTGATTGCCTACCGTCCGTGGACATCCAAAATTTTTAGCCAGTGGGTCTGCCGGGTTGCCAGCGTATTCTGGCCTGAATAAGCTGGCAGCCCTGCAGGCCCACCCCCTAAGAAGCCCAGACGTCCATGGTGGGCAATCAGGCTCAACAAGTTTGCTGGATGCGGTGGTTTACACCAGCAAATCAGGAACAGCCATGGAATGCCGGCATGACAAGGAGGCAGAAATATATCAGTGCACGATGTATGCTGGAAACCAAGGTACCAATTCAAAAGAGGTGGTGTCCCATTCACCCAACCAACCAACAAGCAGCCTGTCTACGTCCAGCCATCAACGTGCCATCCATTCATCACTCACGTTTCTGTGTACTAGCCTAAACCTCAACCACAACGGAGAAGAGGACCCACCAGGAGAGGCACTCCTTTCCCCCTCCTTCCCTCTTCCAGCGTACTCAGACAGTGAAACATACATAGCGAAGACGCAGACACAGGCAGGTGGGGGTAAAAAGTTGCAGTTGGCCTGCTGCTCCGCAAGCATTGAATAGCTACCTAAGCGACCTCGTCACCGCCTCGAATGGTGTGCAGAAAAGCAGAGTTCCTTGCAACGGGTGGTCGACAAATTCTTCAAGCAAAACAATGCTGCATGCAAAACAAGGCAGCAAGCAGATGGGCTCCACTCTGCATTCTGCTTATGTCACATGACCATGGTAGCATCTTACCCTGAAAGACAAACAGCATGATCGAGCACCTCATAACTAGGATCATGACGAAGCAAATACACAAGTGCAGGGTTAGGAGTCTCAGGAGGCAGGGTGCTCACTGCCATAACCAGGTTGGGAGGTGGTGGACACATGATAAAGCATCATAATTGGAGTAAACGAGGGGGAAAGACGTGACGAAGAGAGAGAGAAGAGGATTCATGCGCTACGGAAGCGCGGAGAGGAAGGGAAGAACATGAAGAGGAGTGTGGGCAATACAGACCAAGAAAGGAAGAAACAGCTATTTGCAGGCCAACCGGTGAGTCACAGGCTGCTGGGACACCACCCGAGGAGACGATACAATCTGCTTCTAGAACGAACCAACTGCGAGAACGTACGGTAACTCTGCAAGCGTACACTGGAGAAGGAAGAGAGTCCGCAGCCAAGCGGGGCAGAACAACAAAAAATAATAAGAACAATTATGATCTTCGAAAAGAAAGATGAAAACAATGGCCAACTCAAAGGCTCCAATCCACAGCCCCACCACATTTCACACAAGAAAAGGCGGCCAAATACCCATCCCATCGATTTCCATACTGCATCAATGCAGACTACCATCCCACCAGACTTATGCACAGAATTGGCCTCCCCTTTCAGCACCCCAAAACACCTACAGAGGGAAGCAGGACGTGTGATACGCAGGGATAGACAAGGGGGACTATGGAGGCCTTGAGACCCACTTCTCAACAGGGTATTTTCTGTGACCTCCGCTGCCACCACCATAACTTGCGTCAGACCCTTTCTCCTTCCCTCCGTCCCTGCCTCTTTCTTGGCCATCTTCTGCTTCCGAAATCCCACTATCCAGGAAGGTATCATCGCTTCGCCGACGGGCTCTCCCACCCTCTTCCCCAGCTTTCCATTCATCCACCACTGCACTTGTCCCCGTGTTCACTCCCCTGGCCTCTCCTTCCTCGCTACCCCGACCACCGCTTCCACTTCCACTTCTTCCAGGAGGCAAATTCTCATAGAGGTCCCCATACAGTCCACCCCCACCTTTGCAAGACCCCGACAATCGCAATGACCTATCCAAAAATTGCTTTAGTCTGTTCGTAATTGCCGGAGCTGCCGAACTGTCCTTTCCCGCAAGGCTTGCCTTGATCGATGCCAGATCTTGACCATGTGGAACAATCGTAGACTTCACCAGGGACTCGTACTTCCCCACAAGAGTGCTTCCCTCTTTCACACCCACCGGTCCCACATCTGTACCAACATCGGCCCCATCAGATACCCCTACGACCAGTGCAAGCTCACCACCAAAATCGTCCCTGAAAGTCACCCGTGCCCTTCTTATCCTCTTTGCAGGACGCTGTCCATCCAGCCGGGCGCTATCTTTCATGATTCCATTTTTATCACGCTCTTTCTCCACTTTGCATGGCCCACCATCTGCATCTGGTACAGGAATGCTCCAGCGATTGAGTATGGTATTGTAGGTCAAAACAGCCTCCTCATCTGATGGGTCTGGAGGGGAAGGAAGTTCAATATCCAAAGGCTTGCCACCATCATCTACTTCGCTGGGGGCTCCTGGAGGTGGACCATTCCGCCGGAGTATGTAACTCCTCGTAGACGCAGCGAATCTGACAGAGCACCCAATCTCCAGTTCTGTGGGAGCGTCTTTCGCAAGACGTTCGTTTGAGACAAACGTGCCATGGGCTGATCCCAGATCAATGACATATACACTGCAAAATGTAACAAATGTTTGGTTTCATTCCACATTCGTCACCATACGACGATGCCAAATCATTCATTCCACAAATGCCCACACGGCACATGCAAACACACATACAACCATGCATGGACACACACGCGCACACACACACACACACATGAACACACACAAACACACATACACACACACACACACACACACACACACAGA